ATTATTCATATAATGAGGTTTGGCCAAATTGACCCATACAAAAATTACGGGAGTTTTACCGGAAGCGAATGTAGCAAACATATAAAATACGGCCAGTGGGATTTTTTTTTTAGTTGTTCTCATTTGTAAGTCGCTTTGGATAAAAGCGTCTGCTAAATGATTAAATGTAAATGTAAATGTTTGATACATTTTAATTTGAATTTATGCAAGATTGTCATGACAAAATGTGCCCAAGAGTGAATTGTTCATTTTGTAAATTTTCATGCAGGATTGTCATGACAAAATGGGCTTAATAGTGAATTGTTCATTTTATAAACTTCAATTTAATTATTGTGTACATTTTGATTGTTACATTTAAAATTATGCTGCTGTTTGTGTGTGTGTGTGTGTGTGTGTGTGTGTGTGTGTGTGTGTGTGTGTTTTATTGAAATGTTTTAGTTTTCATATAGAAAAATGTATGATGCACGTGTTCTTGACTCTGGAGTAAACATTTATTTTGAATCTTGTGATTAAAGTATGTTTCATATAAAATGCCCAGAAGTTTCAAACATTATTTTTAATATCACAAACAGGAAATAACTCGCATAATACAAAGAAACGAATAACTGTATAGGCCTACAGCTAAATTACACAAGATTAATGTTTATAAAATGCTAAATATATCATTATAAAATGCATATGTACATAAAGTATGACCTATCGTGTGTAATAAAAGCAAATTACCCCTTAAGAACCGTAAGGTAGCGCTACTCTGTTAAGAACGTAAGCTCTGCCCCTCACTTCCGGTTCTGTGGGCATACATACATAAAGTATGACATATCGTGTGTAATAAAAGCAAATTACTCCTTAAAAACCGTAAGGTGGCACTACTCTGTTAAGAACGTAAGCTCCACCCCTCACAGAAACTGCTGGTGCTGCGGGTCTGCAGCTGAATACTATTGCCGCCGTCAGCGGATTGAAGAACGCGCTGAAAGACGGGGAGGAGCCGAAGCCTGCTGCCATTTTCATATGAAATTTAAAGGGGTCTGAGGCGATCACGAATTCGTGTACAGTTTATGGAGCTAATCACAAAATTCTTAGGGGAGCTGGCCTAGCGTCGCCCATGTTAAATAACCATTTAAAAAGTGACATAATAATGTATCATTACTGCTTAGCTAAAAAAAATGGAAGCTGAAAATTCAACTTTTAAAGCATGAAATAAGATACCACGAATCAGTGAATGATTTCATGTGGATGTATTATCAGTAAAGTAATCATTAAATGTGTAATCATTAAAAACAATTAAAAATAAAAATATCAGCCATTTATATTAATGTGATTCAAAAATGAAGGCCATAGTACTAGTGTTGTCCACAGGAGAGAGCCACAGGATATCAAATCTTTTAAGATCTCAGTTTAAAGACGGTGAAAATTGTTCAATAAATTGACTTGTAGTAAAACATTGCATATAAATTCATTATAATTTCATAAAGTTTAATAAAGGCCAATATAATAAGTATACAAAAACTGCAATTTCCTAAATACTTACAGACCTTTTTTTATCTTAATTTTAATGGCATTGACAACATATTTGTCAAGTTGTCAGACATGACTAAATGTATGTCCAATTGAAGAAGGGACACTATATTATTTATCTATTATAATACTGTGCATATAATAATACTTCCATAAAGACTCATATTTTACTTGAAAAGAGACATGTCCATTGGATAACTATATAATCTACACAAGCCATTGTGCTTGGACCGCGATGATCGCCTTAAGTTAAACTGCATTGTGTCGTTTTCCACAATGCTTCAGTGACAGAACTTTGAAATAACAAACAGGGAAAACAAAACAAAAAACGCATGACCTACATCGCATCCGGCTAGCCAACTCTGCCCAAGCTCCATGATACGTATTTATTCATTTTCTTCATTTGAATGTCTTGTGAAAGGACTTTTTGTAAAAATAAAATCGAACTTACTTTCATCTCGGAAGAGATATCCAATCACATGAGGCCAAAATATATAAAAACAATACTGATTCACCAAAATCAAAAGTGGGAGGGTCTGCGCCCCGAGGACAATCTGAAACAAGCCAATGAGAGCTCAGCCTCAAGTCACATGCGTTTCAAAAGTTTACAGACCTAATGAACACCCATTTGTCCGGCGCCCCGCATACACAAAACAAGCAAAATAGAGTTTTGATTGTTTTATTTTTAATAGGTGCTAACATAACTACCAGTCGAATAGTATGGCTAAATAATGCAATTTCGTGATTATTTCGCAATATACTGTATATTTAACTTATTTTTTAACATGTTGAAGTAGGCTTCTTCCCTGGCTAACTTGGAAGGGGCGGCACCACTGTTTAGTACATTAAGACACATTAAGGCTTTTTATGTCCCAAAACCGTGCCTTGAATTACTGTTTTTCTTTACTTGACTCTCCCAGTCAGCAAATTTCCATTTGGTTCGGATCTGGCCCATATCAACAGCTAAAGTGTGGCCCAGATTAGTACCGGCCCAGAACTGGTCCACATCTTTTTAACCAGAACTGAACCAAAACAATGCCATAACCCAATCTGAAGTGAGCCAAATAATAATTAAAAAAAAGATGTGGCTGAGTTCTGTAAATGGCTGATGGCCCTTAGGTGGCCCACATGTGGCTGATACACCAAAAGTCATTTAACCATAATTACGCCACACCTATTTTTGTTATTTAAAATACCCATTACATAAATCTTAAACACAAAAATTGATTCACAGTCATCTTTTTATTTTAATGTTAATAACAGAAGTACAATACAGAACATAAAATAAGTGTGCTTTGTTGTAAATGTCAAATCAGCGAATAAATTCACAATAATTGATACTTTTAGTAAGTCTCACCAGTCTTTCTCACTCACAGTCTGTCAGGAAAAAGGAGAGAAAAAATAACATTAGTGTACCATAATTAGCATCATACATTAGATTATTTGAATATTACACATATTATTAATGACTACAAATCAACACTGCACACATAAATGAAGAAAGCTTTACTACTCTAAAACTCTAAAAAAAACTTTACTACTTACGATGTAGCAGGCTATTTTTAGACATAATACTTAATAATATACATAATATTAATGAAAATATTATGGGTGTAATGGTACACAAAAATGATGGTTCAGTACCTCAGTTATGAAGTCATTGATACATTTTTGGTATAGCAGGGGGAGAAAACATAAAATTGCTTTTTTTCTTTTATTTTTTTTATTAAACAGTGGTTTACTGAACAATTTGTGGCTCTGTCTTTAAATAAATTCAATTATAATTAACATTTTCTTAAGAATAAAAAATATATATCTCAGCTAAAGTTATTAAATAGGGAGCCCTATTACTTGAACATTACAAAAATATCAAAGGTTACAGTTAACAACAGAGCTCAAACTATTAAATAACATTTCTATTTATTTTTAGATACAATAATCAACACTCAAAAAAGTATGCAAACATGTAAATTGCACATAGGCAGTTTTTACAAAATGTCTAAATCTAATTATAAAATTATGTTTCTACTTTGTTTTCATGACAGATTTAAAACATACACTAATTAAATGTAGAATAATTAAGACATCACTAACAGGTTAAATAAATGTATAATAAATATAGACTAATATAGTGCAAATATTTAGTGAAATGCTCTTCTCCAGAGTAAATTTTTCTAGCAAAGTAACAAGCTGTGGCCACTGAATGACTATGAGGCGAAGGTAATGCTGCTTTGTGACAAAGCGGTTTCATTGGCATTTTTCTGCAGTTGCAAAACTGATTGAAAGATTACGTGAGACATGAGATATTAATTTGTGTTTATTTCACGTTATAACTATAGAAAAGAGAACGCTTGTACTTGCGGTCTGTCACGCCACATCAAAGAGCGTCAAAACGGCATTCATTGATTGAATTTCCTGATAAAATAGATATAATTTTAAAGATGAGACTTTGTATCTTATCGAAAATAACAAAACACAAAGCTTATTGCAATTACTGGACAGGAGATAATATATACTGTAGTAATAATGCATAGCAAAGTTTTATTCACGCATATGAACTGAAACGGATTAAGTTCCGCACATGCAGTGGTTAAAACAACACTGTATTTGTTCGGTACACATACTGAACCGAACAAAATTTTTCTGTACAAAGTAATCAGAATGAGCTTTATCAGAATGAGCTTTATTGCCAGGTGTGTTTACACATACGAGGAATTTGTTTTCGTGACAGAAGCTTCCACAGTGCAACAGAATGACATTAACAGGACAAAAACACAGATAATAAAAGAAAAAAATAGAACAAGTAAACAGGGAATAACAATATACAAATTGACAATTTTATGTACAGGTATATTATGTGCAAGTTCGAAATGTAAACTATGTGTGTTAGATAAATAAGTGTATAAGTGTATAAATAGTGTTGTCTGTATAAGTGTATAAATAGTGTTGTGTGTTCCACAATTATTGTCAAGTGTTCATAAGATGGATTGTCTACTGTTCCTGTGCCTGGCCGTTCTGGTGCTCAGTGCTCTGTAGCGTTGACCAGATGGCAACAGTTCAAAGAGGGAGTGTGCTGGATGTGAGGGGTCCAGAGTGATTTTCTTAGCCCTTTTGTTCACTCTAGATAAGTACAGTTCTTGGAGAGTAGGGAGGGTTGTACCAATGATTCGCTCAGCAGTCCAGACTATCCGATGTAGTCTTCTGAGGTCCGATTTGGTAGCTGAGCTGAACCAGACAGTTATAGAAATGCAAAGGACGGATTCAATGATGGCGCAGTAGAACTGTTTCAGCAGCTCCTGTGGCAGGTTGAACTTCCTCAGTTGGCAAAGGAAATACAACCTCTGCTGGACCTTTTTAACAATGGAGTCAATGTGAATGTCCCACTTCAAGTCCTGAGAGATAGTGGTGCCCAGGAATCTGAATGACTCCTCTGTCATTACAGTGCTGTCTTCCAGGTTGTTAAGACTGCACTAGACAGCCAGCTCTTTTACCTCCTGTCTGTAAGCAGACTCGTCACTGTCCTGAATGAGGTCGATAAGTGTGGTGTCGTCTGCAAACTTTAGGAGTTTGACAGAGGGGTCCTTTGAAGTGCAGTAGCTCGTGTAGAGGGAGAAGAGCAGTGGGGAGAGAACATTACCCTGAGGAGCTCCAGGGCTGATTATACTGGTGCTGGATGTGAATTTTCCCAGCCTCACTAGCTGCTGCCTGTCTGTCAGTAAGCTTGTGATCCACTGACAGATGGAGGTGGGTACGGAGAGCTGAGTTTATTTGGGCAGGAGGAGGTTTGGGATGATAGTGTTAAACGCCGAGCTGAAGTCCACAAACAGGATCCTCACATAAGTCCCTGGTCTGTCTAGATGTTGCAGAACATAATGCAGTCCCATATTGACTGCATCATCCACAGAACTGTTTGCGCTGTAGGCAAACTGAAGAGGATACAGCAAGGGTCCAGTAATGTCCTTCAGGTGGGCCAGCACCAGTTTTTCAAATGACTTCATGACAACAGATGTTAGAGTCACAGGCCTGTAGTCATTTAGTCCTGTAATTTTGGATTTCTTTGGGATGGGGATGATGGTGTAGCGTTTGAAGCATGAAGGGACTTCGCACAGCTCCAGTGATCTGTTGAAGATCTGTGTGAAGATGGGGGCCAGCTGGTCAGCACAGGATTTCAGACAGGCTGGTGTAACACAATCTGGGCCTAGTGCTTGTTTCCTCTTCTGCTTCCTGAAGACCTGATGCACATCATCTTCGCTGATCTGAAGTGCAGGAGGGGGGGAGAGGGGGGTTGCAGGAGATGTTAACAGGCTGCATTCACACCGATTCACACTAATGCACATTTCTATTTCGATAAATCAGATGTTTTGTCCTGTTCTGACAACATAACTGACTGTGTTTACATCAATTAAATAACTTACTTAAAACCCTTTTTAGCTGGTGAAAATACTAGTGTTCTAATCATTTTGGACACCACTGTATATGGAGCCCACAGGAGTCAGTAGAATACTGTGGATTCATATAAAACTTATGTGGAAAGTACAAGATACAAAGCTATCAGCAAACAGTACAAATTGTTTCATTCTCCACCCATCTCAAAGGTAAAATTGACCTCATCAAGAGAGTAACCCTAACTGCTAATATAGAAATGCAATTTTTAGTTATTCAATTTCTCCTGGGGGCTCTGAAGAACTGTTTATGTAGAATTCATTCATAATTTACATCTGAATAATAAAACTCTTTTAGAATCAATCGTGTAGATATATCGGTTTTGTATTTCTTCAGTTTTAAAGGACTAGTTCAATTCCAGAATAAACATTTCCTGATAATTTACTCACCCCCATGTCATCCAATATGTTAATGTCTTTCTTTTTTTCTGTCGGAAAAAAAAAAGGTTTTTGAGGAAAACATTCAAGGATTTTTCTCTATATAGTGGACTTCAATAGCACCCAATGGGTTGAATGTCCAAATTTCAGTTTCAATGCAGCTTCAAAGGGCTTTACACGATCCCAGCCGAGTAATAAGGGTCACTGGGAACTTGTAAAGCCCTTTGAAAGCTGCATTGAAACTGAAATTTGGACATTCAACCCATTGGGTGCTATTGAAGTCCACTACTTGGAGAAAAATTCTGGAGTGTTTTCCTCAAACACTTTAATTTCTTTTTGACTGAGTAAAGAAAGACATGAACATCTTGGCTTACATGGGCTGAGTACATTATCAGGAAATATTAAAGGGGTCATATGATGCGATTTCAATTTTTCCTTTCTCTTTGAAGTGTTACAATCTGTTGGTGCATAAAGAATATCTGTAAAGTTGCAAAGACTAAAGTCTCAAATCAAAAGAGATATTCTTTATAAGAGTTAAGAGTCAACCACGCCTACCTAAAACGGCTCGTTCTAACACGCCCCCAACATGTCTACATCACGGTGTGGGAAGATTCGCATAATGCCGCCCAAATGTTCACACAAAGAAATAAGGCATAAATTTTATTCTTGCTGTAGTATTGTTGCTGCCGCCATGTCATGAAGACGCTGTGTTTCGTTGTAAAAGCGAAACTACTTTGTTTGGCCTTCCTTTCACCGTGGACGAAGCGGAGTCCAGCCCGGGGTCGTTACACGTGGTTGCCGCAAGCCCGCCCGGCGCGCCGTTCTCAAGCCCACCACTCTAGCTCACTCTAGCCCCGCCAGCCTCCGCTCACTCTAGGCCGCTGGCCTGAAAGCGAAACTACTTTGTTTGGCCTTCCAAAAGAGGACACAACTAGAAATCAGTGGTTAAGTTGTATTTGCAACACTGTTCCAGAACAGTTCAACCCAAATATTCAGATGTGTGCAGCACATTTTATGGAGGACTGTTTCCTGATCCTGGAAGAGTAGACTACAATGACGGCTGCTCTGACTCACAGACTGTAAGTACGTTTTCATTTAAAGGATTTGCCACTGATGATTCAAACGCGAGTTTTGGGTAGCGCTTGTTGTTTGTCATTTCTCCGAGCACAAATGCAGACTTGGTTTTATGTTTACGCGGCGCGATGCAACGCGTAAAAAGACAGTATATGTCATTATAATCCGTCCTCACTGGATGCAACAAATGCCTCGTTTATAATGGGTTTCTATTGTTTTTGTCTTGTCACGCCGGGACACAGGGCATCACAGTATGGTAAGGGGCGTAACATTTCCATCACATGCTTGAGGAATTCGGCCAATCACAACGCACTGGATAACTGGCCAATCAGAGCACACCTCCTGGATGCAACAAATGCCTCGTTTATAATGGGTTTCTATTGTTTTTGTCTTGTCACGCCGGGACACAGGGCATCACAGTATGGTAAGGGGCGTAACATTTCCATCACATGCTTGAGGTATTCGGCAAATCACAACGCACTGGATAGCTGGCCAATCAGAGCACACCTCGCTTTTCAGACCGATGAGCTTTGTAATAATCGATGCGTTTCAGAAAGGCGGGGCATAGAGGAGAAACAATGATGTACAGTATGTGGAAAATAAACATACTTATTTATTTGCCTTAAATCGCATTGAAACACATTTCATTACACCAAATACACAAAATAATTGTTAGCAACATCATATTGAATTGAATTGAAAATATGACCCCTTTAATTCTGGAACTTTGTCCTATAAGTTGAATATATTTAATTCAACATTTTGATGTTCTTCATCAGTACAGTATTTTAAATGTAATTGTGCTGTATTTCTTAAAAAAAAACTGAAATATAACATTTTAATTTTATATGGCATTTGTACAGACTTTTTATTTTGTCTTCCAAATAAAACGTAATTTTCCATCTTGAGCATGCTTTGACCCTTTATTGAAGGTTTTCGATTGTAATGATTTGTAAAATAACAGTGTTTATCTGAAGAACATTTAGTGCTTTCATTGTAATAATTTAGAAAAAAATCAGTAAAATAAAGGTTTTACACTATAAAAAGTCCAGTAAAAAACGGTCAAATGACTGCCAGCTACGGCTGCCAAAAAAACCCCGTAAAATTAAGGTAAAATATCATAATTGAAGCAAGGAAAAATCTGTAAAATAACTTTTTTTTCTGTAAAACCTTTAATGAAAATTTCTGTAAAATTATTGTTTTTGCACTTTATTTCAATTAGGATATTTTACTGTAATTTTATGGTTTTTGTTTGGCACGATACAAATCGTTGCAAAGCAACTTTACAGAAAATTAAGTTTCTACGATATATTTAGTAGTAGCTTATCAGTGGTGACTGTCAGTTAATGTACATATGTCAGAAATGTATGGAAAAATAAATTAAAGACGTAATCAAACAGACGATGAACATTATTAAAGGGGTCATATGGTGTTGCTAAAAAGAACATTATTTTGTGTATTTGGTGTAATGAAATGTGTTTATGCGGTTTAAGGTTAAAAAAACACATTATTTTCCACATACTGTACATTATTGTTTCTCCTCTATGCCCCGCCTTTCTGAAACGCGTCGATTTTTACAAAGCTCATCGGTCTGAAAAGCGAGGTGTGCTCTGATTGGCCAGCTATCCAGTGCGTTGTGATTGGCCGAATACCTCAAGCATGTGATGGAAATGTTACGCCCCTTACCATACTGTGA